ATTAAAAATTATTATAATGATATTACATTAAATAATCTTAATTTAATCAACACACTTAAAGTAAAATTTTCTTCTATATATGTAACAATTATATGTATATGATGTTTGTTATTCATAGAATGAAATTGAAAATAAGAAAAAAGAAGAAGAACGTTTACAAAAACGTATGACTGAACTTGAAAATGAAAATCGTAAAATGCGTGAACCACTTGAAGCAGCAAGAAAAGAACTGGAAGAATTACGACGTAAAGCAGAAAATTTCGAAAAAACTAAAGCCTTATATGAAGTAGGAATTATTTAATATTATTGTTCAACAAAAAAACAAAATTCTATTTAGAAAACAAAATCACAATTGAAAAATTGTGAAGCTGATTTCAAGAATTCGAAATGGGAATATGAAGTTTTATTACAACGATTCGAAATTGTATATTAGCAAAGATATTTTCTCTTTAAATTTATTTTATTTTCTATTTATTTAGATTCAAAAAGAACGTGATGATCTTTATAATAAATTTATTAAAGCTATTAATGAAGTACAACAAAAGAGTAGTTTAAAGAATTTATTATTAGAAAAGAAATTGAGCACATTGGCGGATAGCTTGGAAAAGAAAGAAGCACAATTGAATGAAGTTCTTTCAGCATCAAATCTTGATCCAGCTTCACTTTCTGTAGTTACAAGAAAACTTGAAGTAGGATTTCTTTTTTATTTTTACAAAATTTATATATGTTGATATATTTTAGGAAGTACTCGATGCTAAGAACACATCGGTAAGTAAAAAATCAATTTAGATAAATATATCAAGAATCTTAGTAGTTAACGATCTGCTGCTAAGTCAAAATGACTTATTAGATAAATGAAATTTTATTTTTGGCCTTTAATTTGGATAGAAGGGTTTCACATATATAGGTCGAAATATAAAATGCCTTCTTATTTTTTTCATCAGAATGTCAAGATGTGATATAAAAATCACTTATATCGTCTGACAAAAACAGACTTGAAATTTTGAAAACGATACAGAAGTGGTCTGATAACTGAATTGCGCTGTATTCGGGATAAAAAGAAGTACTTTCATCTTTTGAGGCTAGATTAAAATACGAAATCATGCTTACACGCAAACAATACCAATTGTTCAATTCCTTAGGAGTTTAAAATTTGTGCAAAGAATAGACCCTAGTGAGATCTATATATGAGTAGACCTCTTTGTGACTAACGTTGGTATAGGGAGCCTAAGAGGATACAATGTTTTTTAGATTTTTCATATCTCACTAGAGTCTATCGTTTATAGTTGGCACTAGAGCCCGTCAGGTCCACAATTTTTTGGGCCTGGACCCGTTCAATAAAAAATCTTCAGCTCCGGATCCGGACCCGAATCCATGCTTGGGTCCAAGTCGGACCCGATCCTCATGAGCACTAGCCTGAACTCGAACTGTACTTTTAGACTCAGTAAATTTTTCTACTTAAAATCTGATAGTTGCTTCGAAAATAATTTCGTTGTTGTTTTTCTATTATTTTTATAAATAAATTCAAGACTTTTTGAATGAAATGAATAAAAATTTAAAAAAAAATATTATGTTGATAACACGTTTATTCCGATCCGGACTCGGTCACTAAAAGCTTCGATACGCGGACGCGGACCCGACGGGCTCTAGTTGGCGTCGTTCTTTCGTTAGTATCAATTTACTTTCTTTACCAAAAATCATGACTGGTATAAACCCAGTTTCTTTCCCGTTGAATATATACATAGACGTTGAAGCCTCACATTAAATAATGTACCGCAAAAGATAATAAACTAGTATAAATGTTTGTTATGTGATATAATTTTTATTCTTTATAATAGATTCGTGATTTACAATATGAATTGGCTCGTGTTTGCAAAGCTCATAATGATATTTTACGAACATATGAAGCTAAATTACGTCAGTTTGGCATTCCAATAGAAGAAATTGGCTTTAAACCTTTAGAAAGTGCTGTAGCTGGTCAACAATTAGGTCGTGGTGTAGCTGGTCTTGTAACAAGTCCACCATAAATAGCAAACATTTTATTGATGTATTATAAAGTTTATTTTTATTTGTCTCAATTTGCACTAAACAACCTGCTTACAATAACTTTGTTTTTATTTTTTATTCAAAAAATTCTATAGAACTTAAGCATTATTTTGGTTAAAGTTCAGCGAAAATAAACGAAACAATATCGATTTTAACACATATATATATATATATATATAAATTGAGTATATATAAATGATGAGCAAATAAGAAGAAGTGAAAAAGAAAAAACATCG